TATGGAAGTCAATAAAAAATAGGCGAGATAGGTTGGTAGGACACCTTCTCAGGCATGAAGGTCTAGTCAGAGACATATTAGAGGCAGAAACAGGAGTTAGGAAGGGTAGAGGTAGACCTAGATTAGATTACTCTTTGCAAATAGTTAAGAATGTGGGCTGTTCTAGTTTTAGGGAAATGTGAAGTATAGCTCAGGATAGGAAAAGGTTCGTGTCCAACCAGTCTTAGGACTGACGACCCTATGATGATAATGATGGTAATGATGATATAGTAACATTAACTTAATAAAAAAAGAAAACATTTTTTATAAGTATATATCTATATTTCTGTTATTACATTTGCTAGATAAATTAATTTTATGATAAAAGCATAGGATACCGTAGGGTCGAGTCACCTACAACAAAAAGAAGTCATTTCTATGCTCGCGAACGGTTAATCTAGAAATTCGAAAAAGATTGTTAATGGTGTATGTTTGGAGCACGGCGCTGTACGGGTGCGAAACATGGACAGTGGACGCGACGGAAAAGTTTAGAAGCGTTCGAAATGTAGTGTTACCAGCGAATGATGAGGGTACCGTGGATAGAGAAGGTTAGAAATGAACAGGCATTAGAAAGAGTAACAGAACAGAGGACTTCTCTGGCAAGAAGGTCTAGTCAGAGATATATTAGAGGCAGAAACGGAGGTAAGGAGGGATAGAGGTAGACCTAGATTAGATTACTGTTCGCAAATAGTTAAGGATATGGGTTGCTCTAGCTTTAGTGAAATGCGAAGATTAGCGCAGTATAGGAAAGAGTGGAGGTGCGTGTCCAACCAGTCTTAGGACTGATGACCTTATGATGATGATGATTATATTATATAAAATATAATTGATTTTATTTCTATTTTTCCGCATTTTCAACGTTTTTCTTCTTTTTCTTTGTCCATCCTTGGCGTTATTTAGTAGGTATACAATCAATTGCATCTAGTTCTGTGTGATGATGCAAATATTTTTTTCCATTAGAGAGAAATAAGTTTTGTAATTAAATAAGTTAGTAATTATAGTTGCAAATAAGTCACAAAAAATATAAATTAAAATAAACATACCAAACACGCAGGAACAAAATTCTGCCACTTCATATAGTCAGCTTTCATCTTTACGTAAATTTAACTACAATCTCCCTTTGGAAAAATTTGGTTATTATTTTAGATAATGACTTTGTCACTTGTTCTATTAGTGGCCAAATAATGAGCATCTGAAAAATATAAATAGAATGTATAGTATGGGATGTTTGTAAAATTGTAGAAAATTTACTCGTTTGGACGAAAACCAATCAGTTAGACGATTACAGGAAGAAAGGAAACTTTGCGAAACCGCTGTTTGTACGTAGTTTAACGAGAGTTTTAGAAAATACCACAAAGGGCGCAGTAAACGCCACCTGTAGTACGATGCTACATTTTAGGATTACATATGCTCGAACAAGGTCCATTTGTATGGATATCTACTTGCTGAAACGAATCCCGGCGTAGCTAACCTCAACGTGATAGGCACGTTACCGTAAGCGAATAAAAGTTAAATGCCAACAATCCGAAAAGTTTTACTTGATCGTGGTTTCATAAAACCACACAAGTTTTTTGCTATTTCTATTTAAATTGTTAACAATAACTTCTCAAATTGAAAAAAAAATGTATCATATACAACATGTCGCGAGGATCAATTTTGCCTCATATAAGATTTTTTTACAGGTTACAGAAGCTGAGGTATAAGCAAAAACTAAATAAAGAAATTTTTTTAATAAAATGTTACATTACAATACGGCTTATGCTTGTAACGCGTCAAGCTTTCTCATATTCCTGACCAGAACTATCGAACTGGCGTCAATTTCTGCTTGTACATAGATAATTCTTTTCGCTTACTGCTTCGTTGCTGCAGAATGCCAAATACGCTTATTTTGCAAGTAAATGAACTCGATATCTGTTTTATGAATTTGAAAAGAATAGCAACGTAATAATTATGAAATATTTAATTAATTTTGAAACATGTTTTAAAGTCTAAAATTGTTTTTTGAGTTTCCTTAAAACTTCACTGCGTGACACTTCCCCCCGGCTTACAAAAGATTGGCTCCATGTATCGTGGAGGCGCCGTTTCTAAATTGAGTTTTTTAATGCATAACGCAAAATTTTAATTGAACCTATCTGGTTTGACAATATTAAGATGACATCTCTATTTGTCAGACGGTAATAAAATTTTAGTTTTTCATATATATTTTATTAATTATTTTCACAATGTTTGATGAAACCAACGATGAAGAAAAAAGTATTTGCTATTTTCATGGCACCAATAAAGATAAAAGTAATAGTTGTCGAGAACCTAAAGTTTTTGGCAATGTCATATGGGGTAAAGTGAGGCCACCAATAAGTGTAGGTTCGAATATTTATCCACCTATGGTATCAGCTAGAACAACCGATATCATAAGACAACAACTTACTGGAAAAATTCGGAATCCCGATGACGAACCCTATAGAGAACCTCCTAGTACCATAATTGTAAAAAGATCTGATAGACTTCAATATTACGATTAAAAATATTATAAATGTATCACCTACTTACAACCAAATAAACCGGTCGTATAAATATTGTAGGCCTTCCAAACTTTAGATCCTCGTTTATCATAAAATATTCCCCACATCAAGCATGTGAACACCTGTTTTGTCACTCTTCTTCTGAAAATGTGTTAAAAACTCATCACACAAACCTTCTACATCTTTAAAATTAAAATTAACATTTTTTTGTTGTCACATATTGTTTTAAAG